TCTCTTCTCTTTTCATTTATTCTTCTCTTTTACCCCTCATTGCTTTTCTTCCACCGGGACAAGCCAACAATAGTCCAACTGTCGAATGTCCACTTGTTTGAGTTCAATTTTTTTTCCATATATCATGTCTATCTGTTCGATTTATATTACAGCAAGAGAAATGGGACAAAGAAAAACGTAAGCCATGAAAAAAAGAAGCAAAAAGGGAGAAAATGGATCTTCATCAGAACATGTATATTTTTGTTTTTACTTTTTTTTTGTGAAATTTAAGCTGGTTCTATGAGTCTTTTCATTTAATTTTTTCCCCTGATCAGAGAAAGAAGATGAGAAGAAGAATAAGTAGATGAAAAGAAAAATATGGCTCTTCATCCTCATCGGCTCTGTAAGTTTATTTTTATTTTAATTTAATCAGTTTTTGTAAGGTTTTATTTTAGTTTAAAATACATTTTAATCTGATTTTTTGAAATGAAAATAAGGAGGTGAAGCAGATGAAGGGAAATAACGGATCTCTGGTTTGAATCAGTACTGTACATTTTTTCTTTTACTTTTTTTTTGTAACTTAAGCAGTTTTTCTGAGTTTTTTTTTTCTTTGCCTCTTTTTAAAATCTGATTTTCTATTATTGAATCTAAAGCAAGAAATAAAGAAGAAATCATAACATTTCACAGTCTTAAGTGATTTTTTGTTAATTTGTGTAAGTACGATCAGTGTTTGTGGATTGATTATTAGAATAATTGAAAAATTGGATTTTGATGAACTCATTGTAAATGGTAAGAGCTTGAAAGTAATTGATCAGAGAATGCTTAGGATCACATCGGATTGTTTTTGCTTTGAGTTTTCACTTTTCTCTGGTTTATTCATTGTGCAATTATTTATTATACTGACAATAAGATTTGGTTTTGATGAGACTGTTTGAGGATTCTAATAGCTTACAAGCAAATGATAAAGGTAGACAGCTTAATCATTTATACTTTTTGGTTTGGGGTTTCATTTCAATTTGTGGGAATTAAATACTAAAGGAGCTACATTTTGGGATATGAATGTTAATTATCATTGGATTTGCTAAAATTAGCGCTTATGGTGTACATTTAAAGCTTAAAGTAATGCAATTACCTTGGACACTCATGATTTATCTAAAATAGAAAGAGAAAAATATGCCACATACTCATTTATCCAAATCTGTTTACTGAAACTTATATGCAAAATCCCACCTTTTTGTCAGAAAAACTACCAAAAAATCTCAGGACAAGAAATGTATGAAGACTTTTGTTAGAAGGCTGGATGGGCTTTAAGTTTAACCGCCCTTGTGGAAGTGGGATCATCAATTGTAGCTGAGATTTAATCTTTAGTGAGTTATTCTTTGTAGTTCACTGAACCTTCGAATGTTCTCTCCTTAATTATCTCCGCTGTTCATGTCTCCAGTCTGGTTAAATGGTAACATTAATTACAATTTATCTCTCATTTAGGGAGTGTGCATGCTTGTGTGTGGAAGTTCTGATGGGTTTTATACATATTTTTTGTGTTGAAGGATCACTGCTATGGCTTTGGTTTGGCCATTTGGGGAAAAATCTGGGACTTCTAGAAGAAATTTTTTTTTTTATTGATTAGAGAAAAAAATGTATATCGTGCTCATTATGCTTTCTGTGTAAATCTTCCCAATAATAGGAACGTTCTTTCCAATAAATTTAAAACCAAGTTTGAATGATGTTACAGGCCTGACCATTGTGAGAGGAGTCCAGGGTTCTCTGACATTATTTTATGCTATGTCTTTATAACAAAGGTAGCTAGCATTGAATTGGGGGTCGAGTTAATTGAGGCCTCTCTGCATGCTGGCCTGTCATTTCCTAATGATCTACATTTCGATATTGTTACTTTATATTAGAGATCAATAATTGTAGAAAGCAAGCTTTAAGTTATGTTCGGCCTGCAATCTCTGTATTGCTATATGTTTCCTCTATCTACTGACAATCTATTGTTAAAGGAGATGGTGGGTATGTGTAAGTTTCCTCTAGAAGGTATTAGGTGTGATGTCAAAAGCCGTGAACCTACTTGAAATTGATCAAAACATGATTCAGGGATAACAATAAAACATATTTTCAAGCTCCTTTTCCATCATTTATATTGTCATTGGTCTTCATTCTCCATCTTCTATACTTTTGTGCTACTCCATTTATCAACTTTTTAGTTATATCTGTGTGTATTGAAAAATAGTGGACTACTTCTCACATTCGTTTCGCTTCTATAATTTGGTGGAAATAAATAACAAAGATTGTTCTTTTTGGAAAATGGAATTGTATGCTAAATGAAGTTCATTTAGTTGTCTTTCAACTACTGATTGATTTTAATCATGATTTTCTGATTTGCTGGACAATTTAAGACCACCAGTTTTGCATAATAATAAAAGTAGTTAGAAGTTAGGGCAGTAGTTAGAAGTTTTTAAAATCAAAACAAGGAGGAATTAGCACCATCATTGGTTAAGCTTACCATTACTTTGGGTAGAATAATTTCAAAATGCATTACACTTTGAATGTGTCTGCAGATCTAAGTTTTATTTGATTGAACTCTTCCACTGATGATGCATTATCCTGCCGGGTATATTTATTCTTGTTGGCTTTGGTTAAGATTGTCATTATTGCTTTTTTTATTCTCGAGACATTTTCTTTTTCTTTTGTTTAGAAACATTAAAATTACCTCTTGTACACTTGAAGTGTAAAGATGCTAATGGATTATTTGCATCAATATCATCAAGAAATTTTGTCAAATCTCATTGTTTTTGGTTTTTTTTGAGGTATTGTCTTAATCTTTTTATGTGTGACCTTTTAATCATTTGCTATGTTGCAATGCATGTGTGATCTTTTCATCCTTTGTACACTTCCCTGCAAATTGGAAAATAGGCCAGCAGTGGAGAAAGAGTCCATATGTCAGTTCATTTTTTGTCATATTGCCATTTTCAGAAAATAGTGTCTGTGGGAATAATTTTGTTTTCAGATACATGTATTGCAAGATTCTTTTCTTTTCCTCATTTTTTGTTTGGATTATAATTAATTTGGAGTCATTTGGACAGATGAACGATTCTATGTTTATTGATGATGGAGAAGCTATTGATCTGCCTGATGGCCTTGTTCAATTTCGGATGAATTTGGTGGAACTTTTCGTTGATATCTGTCAGATTCTAGGCTATCTCGAGCTACCGTGTTCAGCATTATAACTTCATACTTTTTGGATGCTCTTCTAGGCATTGATCAGCTTAGCTTCAACAACCTAAATATTCAAGCCTAAAATTGAATTTGTTTGATTTTCATATTTAGAATACCTGTAGAACTAGAACCTCTTTTGGATGACTATTGAATATTTATAACAAAACTGTATTGCTCAAATAATTTTACTCTGTTTAGTATTTCACTAATTTTCATTCTCACCAACATTACTAGCCAAACATTAACTGGGCATGTGTGCGCGGTGTCACCACCTAGTTCATTAGTAAAGCTATAGTCCACGACGGTGCTACCATAAAGAAATTTAAACCTCAAACCTGGGGGTGTAGTTATCCAATAAAGAGACCTCTCTATCATATGACCATTGTAGTGAAGATATATCTTTAGATTTAGATGATGAATACGTAGAGATAAATTCATAAAAAAAACTAAATGGAAAAATAAATATTCAACTATGATATATCATGATATGTATGCCAAACACAAATAAATTATTTGAGATATTTTTACTGTAGCACTTTTTGTGATGTGATGTATGTGAGACAAAAAGATAATTGGAAAGATAAAAAGTTGTATTGAAAATTATAATGATAATGCAAGCAAATATATTTGAAAAAATAATCAGCTGTCCAAAACAAACCCAAGGTTAGATATGAAATTTATAGTAACACTCTAAAAATAACTCTAATAGAGTATGGGCTGCAATCAGAGCTTGGGCCGTGATCAGAGTAGAAGGGAGAGAAGGGGAGTGAAAAAGAAAGGAGGAAGAGGGAGAAGAGGGAAGAGGAAGGGGGGGGAGAGAATTAGGAGCGTAATTTGAATCAAGTTGAACTCAAATAGTGCACTACTCAATCTCGATTCAATATAAAATAATTGAGCTCGAACTAATCGAGATTTTAGAAGTCGAGTTCGACTTCAATTTACGTAACTTAAACTCGAGCTCGAATTCGAGTTTAATTAAATCTAATAGAGCATAATCAAATTCAATCGAGTCCAATCAAAATTACGTAATAAAAACTAATATTTTACATGTAATTTTAAATAAATGATATTACTGATATTTCACAATAACAAATATAAAAAAATAAATATTATAAAAAACTCGATTAGCCTCATCGAACATTCGATTACAAAATATTGGAGTTCAAACTCAACTTATGAGTTTAAACAAGTAGCTCGAACTCGAATGTGATCAAAATGAGTTCGAGTTGGATTCTTGACCGAGTAGCTTGCAAGTTTGAATTGAGTTATTTAGTTTAGCATCACCTTAGAGAGAACAAAGGAAGTGGTGGGTGGTTTTTCATTTTTTAAAATATAATTCCAAAAAAAATTCAATTTCAAAAAATATCCAAAAACACACCCTCAAAAACTCCTCTTAAAACACATAACTATCTACACTAAAAATTTTTTTTTATACATATCATTATAGTAAAAATTTTTAAAAACATACTAAAAAACACCTAATCCATACGAGCCGTACGTCTAACTAATAAAATATTAAAAAAAAATTCCAAAAAAAAATCAAGAGGTAGGATTTTCCGTTAATTTGTTTCTTTTTTGGACAAAAAAAAAAGCACTGCAGCTCTATATTAGGGACCTTTTTTGTAACATGTAATGTCTTTTTTTTTTTTTTTTTTTGTCAATAAGTGCATTTGAAGTCAACACCACAAGTCATCCACCTCACCGCGAACTGGATTAGCACCGTCACAAAAAAAAAAAAAAAGGAGTTAATTTCACTAGTCAAAGTGCTGTCGTGTGACAAAAATTCCGACCATTCATATTAAATATTTTGAACCAGCTTTTTAGCTGCACTTTTCCGGACCCGTGCTGTTCTTGTTGTCCTCTCCTTCCCCTCTACCATCATCGCCCTAGTCCGGCTTAAGTCCACAATGCTTCAATAAGCAGAAGTTGCCGAGGAAAACTCTCTTTCATCCATCAATGGCTTCAACAACCCTCCCATTTCTTTACACTGCCTTGCAGTTACTAACCCTGTTGAGTATCGTCCATTTCTCTAGGGTTATAGCTACAGGTGTGAACTGGGGCACCTCGGCGTCACATCCTCTACCCCCGGCCCAGGTGGTGCAACTGTTGAAGGCCAATAATGTCACTAAAGTGAAGCTGTTTGATGCTGACCCAGATGTCCTCCAGGCTCTTGCGGGTTCTAATATTTACGTAACTGTTGGCATTCCCAATTCTATGCTTCGTAGCTTGAACTCGTCTCTTAAGGCTGCTGAGAGTTGGGTCCACGATAATCTCACCCGCTACGTCTCTGATGGTGCCGGCTCTGTCCGTGTAGAGTATTTTTCTTTCATTCTTACTTTTCATTTTCGAACTGGTTCCAGCTACAGTATACAGTCATTGTGCTGTAGTTAATGGATGAAGTAAACCTCTCAGCAGGGAACCCCTTCGTTTTTCATATCTGCATCATTATTAAGCTGAAATTTGGCTTCACTTTGGGAGTTAGGACTGTAGTTTCTGAATGCTGAAGTACTGGTTTCTTCTCTGGAGTGGAACTCTCAATTTTTAGATTCTTGCGTCTTCTTTTTATGCTTTCCAGAAAAAGATACGGGGTAGAATTCAGCAATTAATGGTTGCATTCAGTGCAGTTGAAACTTAACCTGTTGGATAGAACATATAGCGCTTCATATTTTTTTTTTCTCGTTTCTTCCAATTTTCATTTACTGTATGTGCAACGGAGCATTATTAGCGTCCATTACTGCATAATTCCATTTTGAATTGATGAAATGTTGAATCCAGGCATTTTAATTTGTTAATCATGTTTTCCTTCTCAAATGAATGAAGACCCTATTAAGAGAAGTGTAGAACCAATGGATTTTGATTGATTTAAGAAGATTTTCCAGTGAATTACTTTATCATTCACGGCATTTGTTGATTTTTTTGGTTATCATACTTTTTGTCAACCTTTGACTCTTCGACGGGAGACCTATGTGATGAAGATCACTGTTTGATATGCTTTCGAGCACGTTATTGAGCAATGTCTAGGACTTATTTTTATTTCCTTTCTCTCTGTTTCTGAGGTTTCCTTTATCAAGTGCTTTAGGAATTTTTCAGGTAATAATACATCAGCCTGTAAAGTCTACTTCTGTGGGTTCCTGCTATTGCATCAGTGATGGCTGTTTGAAATGGATTAGAGATATAGAAAAATTCAGCAGTGCACTTTTACTCTATAGTCCTTCATTTCTGAGGCTTTTGAGCTAACTGGATGATTCCACTGCTTGCTAAAAATACATCACAGTTGCTTCTCTTTCCTACATGACAGTTGCTTCTCTTTCCTGTCTCTTATTGATTCAATTAATGTATCTTATAGTTATTTAGTGTTAATTTCTTTATGAAGCTAGGTTTTGATGCAGGCTGCTGTTTTGCTGCTTTTGCTCATAGCAAATATTCCACTAGACTCAAAATCTTGCTGTTATTGTTCTTAATTTAGACAAAGAAACTTAGGTTCACAATGTGATTGCTGTGTCTACACGGATCTGTAAGGGTATATGCTATCTTAACTGTGTTTAAGAAAAATTATGTTCTACTTTCTGTATGATGTGTGTCTGAGGGGGTTCTCCAAAAATGAGTTGTAGGAGATCAATCGGTGTTGCTTTACATTCAAAGACATCCAATGGATTTACGTGCTGCTGAATCTCATATTTACAGGTTTATTGCTGTTGGAGATGATCCGTTTCTCCAGAGTTTTGGTGAGCAATTCTATCCATTTGTAGTTGGTGCTGCTGCCAACATCCAGACAGCTCTGGTCAAAGTTAACCTGGCAAACAAGGTAAAAGTTGTCACTCCGTGCAGCTTTGACGCTTTCCAGTCGGAATCTGGCCTGCCATCAAGAGGACAATTTAGGCCAGATCTCAACAAAACCATGGCTGAAGTTCTCACGTTTTTGAACAAGCACAGATCTCCTTTCTTTGTTAGCATTTCCCCTTTTTTGAGTTATCATCAAAATAAGAATGTTTCCCTGGACTTTGCTCTCTTCCGAGAAGGTGCACATCCCCGTAATGACAGTCATAGATCATACAAAAACAGCTTTGATTTGAGCTACGATACAGTTGTAATGGCATTATCAACAGCTGGATTCCCTCGGATGGATATAATCATTGGGCAAATTGGTTGGCCTACAGATGGAGCTGCAAATGCTACCTCATCTGTAGCTCAGGTTTTCTTGAAAGGCCTGGTGGACCACCTTGATAGCAGATTAGGAACTCCACTAAGGCCTCGAGATCTGCCAGTGGAGACTTACATATTTAGCCTATTAGATGAAGATCAGAGAAGCAGAACTCCCGGAAATTTTGAGAGGCACTGGGGCATCTTCACTTTTGATGGTCAAGCAAAATATCAGGTTGATTTTGTCCATGGCTCCGGAAAACTCATAAATGCACAGAATGTCCAGTACCTCTCTCCAAATGGTGTGTTGTGAATAACAACAAAGACTTGTCCAATATAAGTGCACATGCTCTGGAGGCATGCTCTGCTGCGGATTGTAGTGCATTGTCACCTGATGGTTCCTGTTCTGACCTTTCTTGGCCTGGAAATGTTTCCTATGCTTTCAATAGTTTCTATCAGCAGCATGATCAAAGTGCAGACAGTTGTGACTTTGGGGGCTTGGGCTTGATAACTACAGTTGATCCTTCAGTTGAAAATTGTCGGTTCATGATTGGACTAAGGAATTCACTCTCAGTGTCCCTTCGCAGGTCTTCTCAGTTCCACTGGTTTATCTCACCAGTTGCAACCATGTTGTTGTGTTTAGTATGCGTAATCTGGTGAGATTTTCCTTAATAGCGTGCAAGTCTATCTAATATATTTGCGGCTCTCAGACTGCTCTCTCTGCTGTTTTGGCTGACGCTTTGCATCAGCTGATTCTGAGCTTTGTACCTTTCTTTTCTCGATTTGTAGTGCAACTAAGATGATAGATTATCCCCTTTACGCTTGGGCACTTCCTGGAAAAAGGGCGTCTTCAGACTTCCCTCGAGTATATGCACGCATTTACATGGATACAAAGTAACAAAAAACAAAAGAAGAAGAGCAAGGGGTTGATTTTGCAAATTGGCTCCTTTTTTTTTCCTTCTTGCCTGGCACTCACGTAGATCAATTGGAATTGGTAAACTCATTGTTGACGATTGGCCATTTGGTTCCTGATTTACTATGAATTGGTATATGCTTACTATTAGACTTGAGTGGGGTGCCTTTGGTTAAAGGCGTCATGATACGTAATGTCACTGCTGTAGACTAAACCAAACCGTATATCGGTTGACTAGCAAAGATTACATCCTTGACCACCCACCACTTTTAAACAAGTTTTACTACTGTAATTTAGAGAGCGAACGATGGATGTGCAACCAACCAGGTAAAAGTTACCGAGTTATAAAGGACTTAGGCAATTATTCCACTTTTCACCTTACAGGAGCATTCTATCCGCGGTATACTGCACTTTCTGAGCAGATTTGTGGCATGATGTACTGCCTTTTTAACGTATCAGTAGTGTAGACAAAATCCCGTTAAGCCAAAAACTTAAAATGTTAAAACTTGATTTTTTTTCTTTGTCACATCGATAATATTTGTATAATCTACTCTAACCTAGTTTAATGAAAAGGGAAGCTGACGTGATTTTTCCTTGACCTTCCACCTCCACCATTGGTGGTACCAGCTAAAATGTTCAAACTTGATTGATTTATTCAACGAGTTATATGTTACTCCATGTTTTTACAAAGCTTGCTTTTATCATAGCTTGATTCAAGTTCACACCGGTTTCTCTTAAAAGTAAGAGCTTCTTGTCTAAGCCCAAAGTCTGCCTTGTTTGGATTGCTGTTTTCGCCGAAAAATTACGTCGTTTTCCGTGATCACATTTCCCTATTACTTTTTTCCCTCACATATATCAAATCGTTACAGTAATTTTTCCATAAAAAATGACGAAAAATGCAATCCAAATGGGGCCTTAGCATAATAAAGAGGATATGTATACTTCTCTTGTGAAAGGCGCAATATTTTCAATATTATCAGGTGAAACTTATTTACTAATCATAGGGGGTTGCTACTCAGAAATTTGTTTTGGTTTAGAGACTGTAATATCTCCCCTCAATGCAAAAAAAAAAAAAAATTATTTACTACTCAATATGTTGCAAAAGACTTGTTAATATATATATATATATATATATATATATTTGGGCTTTGTTACTTTTGAGGGGTTAAAAACAAATAGCTCAATTGGGTTGAAAAGGTAACCATTACCATTAGGCCTTTGGCCCTTTTACGCTTAAACGGAGTTGGATTCCACTCTCGCGTACCTTCCCGTTCAGAATTTAGCGGCACATGTAAGCTACCGTGGACCCGAGAACAGCATACAAGTTGATTTGCTGGACGCTCATCAACACCAGAAAAGAAAATATCCTCTTTCCAGTCTCGAGCTGTCCTTTTATATAAAGCAATACAATACCCTAAATCCACTTTTTATCCTCTTACCCAATTTTCCTTCTGAGCGTCGCTTTCTCTTTTGCTATTCCGACATCGTATATCAAAAAACATGTACGGTCAACAAGGCGACGGATCTGGTCCACCGCCTATGGGCGGAGGAGGTTATGGAGGTAACGGAAGCTCTGGAGGATACGGCGGCGGAGGCTACGGTGGCTCTGGAGGAGGAGGAGGAGGAGGAGGCTACGGTAGCTCTGGAGGAGGAGATGGTGGTTATGGAGGAAGCGGTGGAGGATACGGTGGCGGCGGTGGCCGGGGAGGCGGTAGAGGTGGTGGTGGTGGAGGCAGAGGAGGTGGTGGTTACGGCGGTAATATGCAGAATCGAGGTAATGATGACCTGGTGCACTTCTGTTTCTGTTTTTCGCTACTCTATCTAAACGTTCAAGTTCACTAAACATTTTTTGCACTAAGCTTTTTTTTTTCTCTTGTTTCCTCGATATCTGCTCATTTTAGGTGGTGGTGGTGGATACCAAGGAGGAGATCGTGGGGTGGTGGTGGCTACCAAGGGGGGGACCGCGGAGGTCGTGGTGGAGGTGGCGGTAGAGGAGGTGGCCGCGGTGGTGGAAGTGGCAGAGATGGGGACTGGCGTTGTCCTAACCCAAGGTAACCTATTACCGTTTCCGGTGCTCATCTTTTCTTTTCTTTTTTTTTCCTTTTATTCCCCTCAGAAAGTGTGCTGTGTCTTAATTACTTTGTTGAGATTGTTCTTTACGTTATTATCTCTATGCTACTTGGAAGGATAAAGGACCTAATAAGATTGTATTATGTTGGATCTTAACTTGTGAATTTTGTGCTGACTTCAGTCATTCTGTACAAAGAAGCTATAGCAAGTATGTGACATAAAAGAAGCAGAGGGTAAAACCTTGTTATCATTTTTTAAACATGTTAATGGTCATTGATTTTGGCCTGTGTGGTTGTAGCTGTGGGAATTTGAACTTTGCTAGAAGAGATAAGTGTAACAAATGTGGTGCACTCCCTCCTGCTGGTGCTGGTGACCGTGGTGACAGAGGTGGTGGTAATTATAATAGAGATGGCAATAATGCAGGATATGGAAATAATCGAGGTGGGAGAGGTGGAGGCAGTAGAGGCAGTGGCTACGGTCATGGAAGAGAGGATAGTGGTTATAGTCAAGGAAGAGGTGATGGAGGTTATGGTCAAGGAAGAGATGATGGTGGCTTTGGTCAGAGCCCTGTTGTAGCTCCTTCTTATGGTGGACATGGTGGTAACTATGCACCACCACCTAGCAGTTATGGTGGAAACCCTAATTATGCTCAAGATGCTGTTCCTCCACCTTCAAGCTATAGTGGGGGGCCTTCTTCATATCCTCCATCATATGGTGCTCCACCTGGTGGCTATGATGGAGGCTACGGAGGTGGTCCACGGAATCTGGGTGGTGGATATGGTGGTGCTCCAGCTGAAGCTCCTGTTAAAGTGAAGCAGTGTGATGAAAACTGTGGGGATGCGTGTGACAACTCGAGAATTTACATTTCAAATTTGCCTCCAGATGTGACCATTGAAGAACTTCAAGAACTTTTTGGAAGCATTGGACAAGTAATATGCAAATTTCCTTCGGCTTATTATTTTGAACGATATAAAAATCGTATTTGGCCTGCTGTTGCAAATTGATCTGGGAATTATACATCTTGTCCCAAATACTTATGTCCGAAGGAAAGATTGTTACATTAAATGGAGAATCTCATTTTATTAAATCACCTTGCAATTTATTTATTGGTCTAGCAGATTATGCTATGTTCAAGTTCTTTTAGTTGTTGCAGGTACATAGATACAGTAGTTGATGCATGAATAAAAAAGAAATGGGTTCTTACCTTTCTCTTTTGCTAGGTTGCAAGGATCAAACAAAAGCGAGGTTATAAAGATCAGTGGCCCTGGAGTATAAAACTGTACACAGATGACCAAGGAAAAAACAAAGGAGATGCAGTTTTATCTTATGAAGATCCTTCTGCAGCACACTCTGCTGGTGGCTTTTTCAATAGTAAACCCGAAGCAGACTTCTCATCTTTAATTTAAATTGTATATAGTCATCATGTACTCATTTGAAATTGTTTTTTCAGATCATGATCTACGAGGTTATGCAATCAGTGTGGCTATGGCTGAGAAATCTGCACCAAAACCTGCCTCACAGCATGGATATGGGTATTCTATCTTTCTCAACTAAATATCATTGTGTAAATCCAGGACGATGAGCTTCTTTGTTGTCTTGTTCTCTCATGCAAGGGTTGCTAAGCATCTTGCATTAAGATTTTTGAGTTAACTCATTATGTTGACTTGCTGTTAGTTCTTGTACTTTTATACTTACACATTGAGGCGAGTTTACTATGTCGTGTATCATTTGATATGAAATCTGAAATCTATCAATGTTCAAATGTTTGTAAAGTCGTTGATAGTCTGAGAAGTTTTTTGCTTGAGTTCTAGAAATTCTGCAATCTGCATTTATACATGTATGAAACAGTTGATGTGGGTAAAATAACTGGTAGCTCATTGGTGTCCTGAAGACATTAGGAACCGTAGTTCAGTTTCACTCCCTTGCCTCTGAATTCCTTTGTTGGTGGTCAACTGTAATTATATGTTTTGCTATCTTCTTTTTGTTCTTTTTATCTTGCGGATGGTTGGACTTTTTGTACATTACATTGTTGATCTTAGTATCATGAAGTGGTCTTCCATATTGCTGTGGAGATGTCTCAGAGTATAATTTAATTGGCTCCACCTGAGCTGGTTAAGAAGTCGAAACATGATTTTCTCTGACAAAAGAATTTCTAATGTACAGTGACATTTTCCAAAAATTTGGGGTCAGTAGTTGATATAGTTTTACTTTTTTGTAGATGGTTATTCAGTTTCTCACTTGGATGCAAGTTCTCTATTAAAGTCGTGTTTGATCATGTTGAATCATTCATAATTATTTTTCTACTGCTTGCATGTGGGTTTTTATGCATAGCTTCTCCAGTGTAAGTTATTTGCACTGCTTGGAAGTTGTCCACTATTCAACTTATGAACCCCTGGCCTATTAATCTTTTGGCTTCCCGTTTTTCTGATTTGGTGTTTATGCGGACTATTGTCTTTGTAAGGATAGTTGGTGATTTTAGTATCACTTCTTGATGTAGCCCTTGATTGATAATTCAATTGATTAGCTCTAGATTTTTCTGTCAAGGGTCTGTCTTGCGTGATTGTACAACAATCTTGTCTTGGTTAATGCTTTGTGTTGGTGGTCAAGTTATTTTGTATCCTATGCCTTATTTGTTATTTGCTATGAATTTTGAGTTTGTGCTGTTGAGTCATTGCATTGTGAATCATAATTTTAGCATTTTTTGTGCTTCAATTCTCAATTTGATTTCTTCCTAAATGTACTCTTGCTTGTTTACAAGATGGTATTTTATCTTTATTTCATGTTTTGTAGTCTGACTAGTTGATTATTCTACAGGGGAGGTGGTAGAGGCGGTTATGGGGTGATAGACGAGAGACAACTACAGAGATGGTGGAGGTTCTGGTCCAGATAGAAATTATCATGGAGGAAACCGTTCACGCCCTTATTAGACCTCATCCAAGCATATATGTACTAAAACTTGTGGTGGGAGGGGTTTTATTTTATTCCATTGCAGATTGTTCTCTAACGGGAGATTAAGAGGTAGGTTGTTCACTACTCTGAGCGATACCCTTTTTCTCCTTTTGTTTTGAGTACTA